TTTCTCCGTATACGACCGTTTACGATCGCGCTTGTTTGACCTGGGTTATTTTGTTGATAATCTACATCATCTCTCTTGTTATCATGTATTCACGCTTTCTTCTGGTTATCTTTTATTCTCTTTCTTTGTTCTTCTGCTATATATATATGTAAAAGTCTACTTATTATATAGATATAGAACATACTGAAAGTTCGTCAGATATTAATCATTTTCATTAAATTTTTTCTTTATAAAAGTTTATTTTTACATTTCGGATGGATCCAACAGAAGTTATATTCGACTTTGAAATGGTTGGTGGAGTAAAAGAAAAATTACGTCAAATCAAGAAAGTTGTTGAATTAACATTTGAACATTCACGTACATTAACAATAATGAATGTTCAACCAACACAATTCATTCTTTTATGTCAGATGAATCCAGCACAATTGACATTTGGTTACGGAAAGGTGGGGGGGGAGTAAAAGAAAAATTACGTCAAATTAAGAAAGTGATTGAATTATCATTCCAACATTCTGATATTTCGGCACGTACCTGCCGGAAAATGCCAAGAATTCGACCCTGGAATCGGTTCCGGATAGAACCGAGCGGATCTGGCCACCGAATCCGTTCAACGGCAATACTGCCTTCCTGAAATCTCCTGAATATCACGGAACCGGTCCTTTCCGTGCCGCATTTTCCGATCTGGATTAGAAAACTACGACTTTTTTTGTTTTTATTTAGGGAGATTGAACTATAGTGTCTTTATTTTTTTGCCAGACAATGACTCACACAAGTTGGTTATATAGCATCATCTTCATGGCTTACCTGTTACGAAATACAGCTTTCCGTGTGATCTCAGAGATGAAACAACTCAAATGGGATATAGTCTTTTTAAAAAAGTAATTGAATATGCGTATAAATTAGCTATTAAACAATCAATTGGAACAGAAATTCCAGATTAAATTACTACAAATGATATTGAAAAAGCTATGGAAGTTTGTAAAAAATTAAAAGATTCTATATTGTTTTATCAACGAATACGGTCGTAATACTGAGACAAGCAATACGCTCAAGTACAACAGAATACGACACGACATTTACATGTGGCCGTATACGGTCGTTTACGACAGAGCAGATTCGATCTGGCCAGGTATACAAATAAAAAATAATTTATTTTATTTATAAAATTACATTTTTTTTTGTTTTTATTTAGGCCGTTTCAACTATCGAATCTGGGTTGGATTGCCAGACCCAGAATCACATAAATTGATTCTTCAGGAATGCACAAAAAATTTGCCTGTGCTAGAAAAAAGTTTTCCGACAAAATTAACAGATGAAACATTACATTTAGGTGGTAGTCTTTTACGAAAAATAATAGAACAAGCTCATAAATTGGCTATTAAACGATCAATTGGAACAGGACAGCCAACTGAAATTACTACAAATGATATTGAAAAAGCTATAAAAGTTTGTAAAAAATTAAAAGATTCTAGTGAAAAAAACAAATAGTTAATTTTTTTTAAATAAAGATATAAAAAAATTGTATTGAATTCTATATTGTTTTATTGATTAAAGGAACGATATACTACTTTTTGTTAAATATACTTTGATAATTGAGTTAATTATTAATGTGAAATATGAGTTTACGGTATTAGACAGTAAGAATAATAACATTATGTTTTCTTTTAAGAAGTAAAAATCATATTTCAAAGAATTCGATGTCTTCAACTTCCTAATGTTTGTGAATTTACATGATAATGTGAAACTTAAATCTTTGAAGATCATATAGTCATTGGAATAACTATTACTAATAGAAAAATTGTATGCAAAAATATTGAAGCTTATATTTCTGTTATTATGAAGATACTAAAAGTCTAATTATTCGAAAGATATTCAAAAACTCGTTACAAATTTTTATAGGTATACGAATTTTGTTTATTTCATTCTATAATGTTAATTAGACTGGTGTGAGTAGAACCACATCTATTTTACTGAAACTAGTTAGATTATTACGGATATGTGTACAATACTCACATCCTGAATTAGATACGCACACTGAATGTTACAGGAAACTAAAAGTCTTATTATTTTACGCCTATAAGATCATGATTATATATTCAACTATGGAAATTCATTACTGAATACTTGGAAATATATCTGTTAAATGTTCACCTTGAATAGTTTCGCAAAGAAATATTTAAATACCAATAATCGATGTGTTTAATAATTGAATTCGATTAATCGAAAAACATGCGAAAAAGAATATTTAACAGTTAATGAGTATAAATTTAAGTAATATCTTGTTCTATAAAAACAATATTAAACAGAAAATTAACAGAGATTCAGAATTTGTATTTAGTATAGTTAAATTCTCATTTGTTCAACAAACTGTAGAAATATCTACATCTTCTTAATTAATCTCAACGAAAAACATATTCATTGAAATATAACATATCTCATCAACTCAATTGTTATTTAGCAATAATTATTCTTTTATTTGGTATATGTGGAAATATTCTTAATTGTCTTGTTTTATCACAACAAATACTTCGAGGAAGTCCATGTACTTTTCTTTTTTTTTATTTCATCAATTATTGATCTTCTTTCTCTTGTATTTGGTATTACTACACGTATTATGTCAGCTTAGGATATGGATCCAACAAATACAAGTGATTGGCTTTGTAAACTTCGTGCATTTCAGAGATGGGATACTAAGTAAAAAACTTGGTACTTTCTAAGTATTTTACTTATAGACCTCAAGTACAAGTAATCATTTTTTAGTACAAGTAAATGTACTTGTACTTAGAAATTGTAACTTGTACTAGTACTGGGTACTTATTTACTTAAGTACAGTAAAATTAGTACAAAATGTACTTAAACAGTTTCTTATTAGATATTTACATGCTGACGCTACTGGTACATTTATTTGTGTAATATTTGTTTCAGTTATCCAAGATTTTTTTACATTTTTTCATTTTGTCTAGCTTTTGCAGTATAACTTACGTACATAAATTTTCTTTAATAATATATGTATCTCAAATCTTAGTAATATTTGTTCTCTCATTGTGTTCATAAAACTTTATTTTATCTGAATGTGACTTACAATAAGTGTGCAGATATTTTCTTTGACTTCTCCTTTTACATACAGTGAGAAATTTCAGATAAATGATAAAAAGTTTATTGAAAAGAAAAAGTCATCAACCAAATACTGTAACAACTTTTTCTTTAAAAAAAATAAGATAAAAACAAGTACAAAAAAATAAATTAAAAATATATGATGAACAAGAGAGCAGTTTTCGTAAAAATTGATGTATTACCAATTCATAGTAAAGATTGATTTACTCTTAGAAACACCATATTTTTAAACAACTGCTCATTCATTCTTGTTCGTCGCGCCGTTAAAATTAAGCCTGCATTCGAAAATACTCTTTCGATCGGTACAGAGGAAGCTTGTACAGAGAAAATTCGAAAAACAAATTTTTTTTATAAATTTAATTGAGAATATGACCAGTACACTGAGAATTTTGATTTAACAGGATCATTTAAATGTTATTTAAGACTATGTTAGCATCGAATTATGCTCAAGAATAAAAGTACTTAGCATATGTACTTTTTACTGATACTTAAGTACAGTTGTACTTTTTACTGATACTAAGTACAAAATATTTAAGTAAAAACTTACCAAATTAAGTACGAAGTACATGAAGCTAGTACAAAATACTTTTACTTGTACCTGGTGTACTTGTACTCGTCCTATCTCTGGTGCATTTATTGTATTTACTTCAAGAACTCTCGCAATATAGATGATTATGTTAGCAACATATGATCGATGGTTATTATCAACACGAGATCTTTATCGACGATAAATGAGTACATTAAAAAACGCAAAGAGAAGTATATCGATAAGTAGTATTCTATCGATTCTTACCTATACTCATATGCTTTATTGTTATCAAGCTAATATTGTCAATGCACTATTAGCATGTTATGGAAAACATATTGTCTGTTGGTTTATAACTGAGTTAACATATGCAATTATAACAAATTTTATTTCATTAATTTTAATGATTTAATATACTCAATATCGAATAGAAATTAAAGCTGTTATAATAGGTCTAACGAGTTTTAAAAAACTGATCGTCATTTACTTCGTATGTTATGTATACAAATTTTTTCTTTTAATCATATTTTGTATTCCACAAGCTATACAAAAGCTTTATTTTACATTTCATTCAGTTTCTTTCAAATCTAATTTACAAATTACTATTGATAATTTTTTTATATGATATTGAATTATTACTTGCTTTTATTACTAGCGGTATACCATTTTATATTTATACATTATCAAGTAGAAGTGTTTTTCGAAAAATATTTTTAAATCTGGTACGAAAATGTATATGGCACAATTTTATAGTTATAAGTGCATGAGTTTTTTGTAATAAATACTGTAATGTGTATCTATAAGAGTAGCTCATATAGAAATATATTAATCTATTTAATCATAAATAGATGAAGTTGAGCTACAATAACTATATATCGTGAAGATCTTTTTCTGATACATATTTATTTTCACAATAGAGTCAAAAATAAATTATTAACTTTTTTCCACGTCTTCCAGATTGTTTCTATACCATTGAAGATGCGAGTGGTTTGATGGTAGTGATTGCTGTGCAATATCTACAGCACGTTGACTGAATGAAAGCGCTTTTGAATGTTGACCCATCCTGCTATACACATTACCCACATTCCCAAAGGACATAGCCAAATGAGGATGATTGGGAGGAAGTGATTGTTGGTCAATTTCAAGGGCTTTTTCGTAATAAGAAAGTGCTTTTGGATAATCACCTATGTTGTAATGCAGTAAACCAATGTTGTTGTAGGAAGCAGCCAGATCAGAATGATTGGAAGGAAGTGATTGTTGTCGAATTTCGAGGGCTTTTTCATGAGAT